CACAGAAGAAAAGCTTTACTTCACTTCAGTATGCCTGCTGGCTCAAGCTAGGCCAGTCCTACTCACACCCATCCATTTCAAAAGCACGGCCTCTTAGCCCATGCAAGGCAGGCCAAACTCGCTCAAAACATTCTTTTTTGTTTTTGGCAAAAACTGGTAATGAAATGTAATATAAATTTATTATTTACAATGATCTGTTAGAGTTATCCATCTATGACATCCCTCCGTCTCCTCTCCCAACACCATAATAAACTTTATATGTATTTACAGCATCCTATGCACCCTTGCATTTCAAAATAAACTGAAGAGAAATAAAATATTGGTTAGTCTTGAGCATGGAAACAGGGCCAATCTGGCAACTATGCAGTAATCAGCTATGGTAAATAAACAGAGGCTGTGATAAGGACCAGGAGACTAGATGAGTGGCTGACAAGTCATTGTGATCACAGACAGCAACATGGGACTTTTGCATTGGTGCTGGTGGAGTGTGAACGTCTCACTCCTCCACCTATCTTGAGCATCGAATGTCAAATTTCCTGTATTCTTCTCCTGGGACATTTGTCTTCATTATATACTGCCTACTGTTGGGCAACTGGTCAGTGTCACACACCAGCTTCTAGGGTAGGAGTCAGTCTGATGTTGACTAAGGTGGGAAGAAGAATTTAGGCAAACTTGGTCCACCTGACATACTTGTTCACATTTCTCTATGGAGAAAACCATTTCCTTTATAATTCCTGCCCACATTTGGACAACATTTTTCACAGACCTCCAGGAAGCAGGGTTCAATAAGGTATAAGATTATTGTAATTTCACTCCCTCCCAACACAACCTCCTTCCTGCTTTGTGTCCAGTTACCTAATACTCTTTTATGATTTTTTTTTCTTTTTTTCAACAAACCAGCTGTATCCCACCAAGGCAGGGTGGCCCAAAAAGAAAAATGAAAGTTTCTCTTTTTAAATTTAGTAATTTATACGGGAAAAGGGGTTACTAGCCCCTTGCTCCCGGCATTTTAGTCGCCTCTTACAACACGCATGGCTTATGAAGGAAGAATTCTGTTCCACTTCCCCATGGAGATAAGAGGAAATAAACAAGAACAAGAACTAGAAAGAAAATAGAAGAAAACCCAGAGGGGTGTGTATATATATGCTTGTACATGTATGTGTAGTGTGACCTAAGTGTAAGTAGAAGTAGCAAGACGTACCTGAAATCTTGCATGTTTACGAGACAGAAAAAAAGGACACCAGCAATCCTACCATCACGTAAAACAATTACAGGCTTCAGTTTTACACTCACTTGGCAGGACGGTAGTACCTCCCTGGGTGGTTGCTGTCTACCAACCTACTACCTAGATCTTTTATATCTTCATAAATATTAATACAAACCAATTTGAAGGGGTATTTAAAGAAAGATTGATAAAAAATCTTGTGATACTGGGCTTGGGTAATTGCATAAGAGATATATATAGCAAACACTTTTTGACTGCATAAAAGCGAATTTCTGCCAGAGTGTATTCTTGGTAGAAGTAGGCTAGCTGCATATGAATGAATTCACGTAAAATTAATCTGTACAAAGAAAATGAGCTTGTATTCAATTCCAGAAGTAACTGCTATTGAGAGAACATTCTAATATAGGTTGAGTATTCCTTATCTGAAATTCTGAAATTTAAAACGTCCAAAATCAAATTTTTTCAAGCGCTGGCAGAACGCTACAAATGGAAAATTCCATTTGGCTCTGGGGAGGTTACCAGGCATTGCTCAGGTCTCTGTATACCCTGACAGTTGTGACATGTGACCTCGCATACCCTGGGTGGAGCTCTGACACTTGGTACACCAGTTTATCAACAATGGTCACTGCCAGATCTCTGTGCATTACTTACTGTGATTACTGTATGTTTTGTGCATATTCTCTGCGTTGTGATGTAAAAATAGTTGAAAATGTCAAAAAGGTCTGCAGATACATGTATGAATAACAGTAATAGGAAAAAAATAGAGTACATTAGTCTTTTAATCAAAATACGACATCACAGGTGGAGACACCCTGCCATTGCTTTTTGTTTTATAACAGCTGATGCAGGTATTCTGCCAATGATGCTGTGCTACTTTTATTGATATTTTTTTAGTTAATAATATCGTATAAAACTACCTTCAAGCTGTGTGTATAAACTGTATATAAGATATAAATGGATTTCATTTTTAGACCTGGGTCTCATCCCCAAGCCCTATTTCAAAATTCAAAATTCTGAAATCACATTTCCAGCCCCCAGGCATTTTTGTTAAGTGATTCTCAACCTGTACTGTACTATATCATTTTATCTATACCACACATAATTTATGTCCTTATATTTTTTTTGGATATACCAAGCCTGTAAGAATCATGTAGCACCTGGGAGGTAATTAGATTTGAACCGAGGATTGGAAGGGGATTTCTAATTCTTAAGATCAAGAACCCTTCACTAGCATCAAAGCAAGCTCCTCACCCTCCATCCAGTGAAGAGTAAGAGTTCAAGAGCATAAATTAACAGTCATGATTATGAAGGACTCTTAATACGAGGATATGTAGCTACTGTTTCCTACCTTGTATCAAACCTGGTTACTCCCTATTCCCTAAGTGTAGTATGATTCCTACAAGTTTAACCCATTCATTGTCGGTCCCGTAATATTACGCCTTGCAAGCCAGTGTTGGTCCCGTAATGCTATGCCAAACTTCTAGCGGCATCCTCTCCAAGATACGATACTACGTGCCGCAAAATGCCCTTCTCACACTATACCACTCACTTATTTATCCATACCTCACCTATGCTATTTGTGCTTGGGGATCAACTGCAGCAACACGCCTAAAGCTAATAATAACCCAACAAAAAGCCGCAGTAAGAATAATCACTAAATCCCATCCCTGGCAACACCCCCCCCCCACTCTTCATAGATCTAAACTTACTCCTTGTTCAGTACATCCACACTTACTACTGTGCAATCTACATCTACAGGACCTTAAATTCCAATATTAACCTTGACCTAAAATGCTTTCTTGATAGTTGTGACAGAACCCACAGGCATAACACCAGACACAAACATCTCTATGACATTCCCTGTGTCCGACTAAACCTTTACAAAAATTCAACGTATGTCAAAGGCCCTAAAATCTGGAACACCCTACCTGAAAACTCTAGAACAGCAGACACATTCATCACCTTCAAAACTACCACTAGAAAACATCTTATCTCCCTGATACACCCCGTCAACTAATTACACGAATACCACCTAGTGGTTCACACTTACACTTTCACTCACCCATTTGACCATAAACAGAAATATCAATCTCAATCTTAAAATAATGAATCCTAACTAGTCATAAGTTGGCCTGTGATACTCCAATACTGAAACTATGTATTGTGCCAAAACAAAAGCATTCACATTGCTATACTCACAAACTAGTATTTAGTCACTTAGCCATTATACCAACTTGCCTCATAATTTGTAATATTTTAAAATTAAGAATTATTCAAGTCTGCCCGAAATGCCTAGCCATGCTAGGTGTTCTAGTGGCACCCTCTGTAATTAGTATTTTACTACATGTAAACCACACAATAACCAAATTCTGTAAACTCAGCATTGTAATCCTTATAGAGAATAAACTTTGAATTTGAATCCAATCTTGCGGGAGAAAGCTGGTAGGTCTATATACGAGAGAATGGGTCTGAGATGTCAGTGTGTGCAGCATAAAAAAAAAATCCTGCAGCACGCAGTGCATGATAAAAAAAAAAAAAAAACTCAGACCGTTTTTTTGGTTTAACCCTTAAACGGTCCAAACGTATATATACGTTCACGCGCGTAGCGCCCCAAATGTATATATACGTTTTCTTTGTCATTCATTCAACATTGCCACAATAAGCCTGAGTCACCTAGACATGAGAGAATGGGTGTGCGCACTCACTGTGTGCGCCATATTAAAATAATTGGGGATGCCTGGGTACCATATGCTCTTTTTTCCTTTTAAAAGAAAAGATTTTTTTTTTCCTCAAAAAATTTGGGGCACTACGCGAGTGAACGTACATATACGTTTGGACCGTTTAAGGGTTAAAACAGGGATTTTGCGGTGTATTTATGTATAGTATTTATGGTTCTATTTTCGTTTTCTTGGTCTCATTTGACAGAACTGAAGATGTAGTAAAGAAACAGAGATGATTTTGAATGGTTTATGGACTAACAGTACCTTAAAATTGAGCTCAAAATAGCAGAAATGTTAGATTTTGCAGATGTTCGAGAGTAAACAAATCACGCTACACATCTAATACACGTCAACTGGTGGGTCCAATATGCTTTCACAAATGTGCTGATATTATTTATACCATTTTTACAATAATGTAGTAGTCTGCATAACTGTAAATCTTCTATTTTTTTGTGAGAATAAAAATTCAAAATGGAAAGCAAGCATAAGAAGGGCCTGGAGATATTACTAATGAACAGAGAAAATGTTATTTTAGTGCTAAGCGTGTTTGCATTGTTAATTCTGGACCCCATTTTGAAATTGGCCTTTCTTGAATTGTGTATGAAATTGGCTGAATTACCAATTTCTGATCACTTTATTGGGTAGTTGAAATCAGTAAATGGGTGGTTTCTTGTACTCGATTGATAGAACAAATTGAGTTCTAGCAAAATAGCTATGAGTTTGGTCGACTGGAACAACGGAATTGGCTAAAAATAGGACTCAAAGTGGGCAAAATCGCTGATGCATAAATATCGCCGAGACTGCTAAATTCATGAGAGTAACTCAATAAGTTTTCCACCAAATTTTGTACTTTTGGTGTCATTACCATTGGGAAAAGAATCTCTTATCATTTCATAAGAATTCTTTGTTTTTGTGAAACTTCAACACTGAGAGCAAGTTCGTGAGCAGAGGTCTCAACACTAAAAGGGTTAAAGCTTACCCACAATTATAATAGTAATGTACTGAACAGAATCTATTAAAAAAGTTGCCTGAATAATTACAGGTTAACAACTCACCCAAACTTGCGAGTCTCTTCAGTCATCCAGGCCAGCTGCATTCTCCGCCGTGTAACATCAAAGGGATACGAGAAGCTTTGTGCCACAGCACCAGCCAAGCCTCCACACAGAAGTTTAGCAGGAACTACTAGTACTAACCCACCTGCAGCAAAGGTTTATTTATAAAAAATGTATATACACGAGAGTCATATTTTCAATCAAATAAAATGAAGTTGCAAATAACAATTAAATACATGTGAAATGAGGAATTAAAAATATATAATTATACTACATACAGCCTCTCCTCACTTAGTGACGTACTCGTTTACCAACGACTTGGATTTATGACTGGCTCTGACCAGTTGCTTACATAAATATGTATACCAGAGCTGATTTCCTTTATTCTGTTTATTACAATATACAGTACACTGCTGTATAAACATTTAAAAATATACCAGAAATGTTATAAATGGGGCAAAGGTTACATTAGCCATTTGAGGGTCCGTCCTGCAGTTCTACGGCTTTGAAGCCAGGGTCCAAGCAATAGTTCTACACCACGAGCTCAGCTCACTCAGATAAGCTGTGAGCGGTAAATCTGGGCCTAGACATGAGAGAATGCATCTGTGTGGTAAGTGTGCACCATATAAAACAAATCCTTCAGCACACAGTGCATAACGAGAAAAAACTGTTATTTTTTATTAAAACTGACTTTATGGTTGTTATAAATTAATCTCATTATGACCATGGTCATATGTATTATCCACTTAATATTATACTCGGGGTTTCTTTAATATTAGCTAAATTAAAGATTCCACTAGTTTATAATATTATCTGATTTAGGAATATACCCGGGTATGATGTGTGTGTGTGTGTATGTGTGTATATATATATATATATATATATATATATATATATATATATATATATATATATATATATAATATATATAATATATATATATATATATATATATATATATATATATATATATATATATATATATATATATATATATATATATATATATATATATATATATTAATATATATATATATTTACGTATTTTGAGTAATGTGTTAGGTAGGTAACAGCTGGCTAAAAGTTGAAACAAGGTACGTCCTTAGAGGGTAGTTTAGCCTACTATTCCCTCTCCCTTTTGGTGAGTTGATGTCATGTAGGGATTAACTGTGTTAATTCAGTTCCCTCTCTCTGCCAACTCAGTGTGCATTGACTGAGCTACCCCTCTAGTACTCCGCCTTATTCTCACTTGGATAGAGAATTCTGTTGTAGAAACTCCTGAACCAGCTTGTGGTTTATTGTGAAGTGAAGTCTGCGAACAATTATATACTGTTACCTTCAGTTCAGGGAAACCGGCAGGCCGGACTTGAATCCTGGAGATGGGAAGTACAGTGCCTGCACTCTGAAGGAGGGGTGTTAATGTTGCAGTTTAAAAACTGTAGTGTAAAGCACCCTTCTGGCAAGACAGTGATGGAGTGAATGATGGTGAAAGTTTTTCTTTTTCGGGCCACCCTGCCTTGGTGGGAATCGGCCAGTGTGATAATAATAAATAAAAACCTTCAGTTTACGATGTGACGACCTGTGTTAAGCTTAGAACTTTGTGATATATTCCTTATGCCAGGGAGTTACTCGGTGAAAGTGTTACTTCTCAATGTATGTACTTGCGTACAAGTAATATTATTGAGGAAGCAGTAACAAGTGTAGTGACCATATTGACAGTCTCCAGAAGGAGTATGATGTACATTCTATTTAAGTGTTTTCTTATGTAAATGAAAGTTTCTGACGGTGATATTTAATAGATATTTATGAATATCTAAGAAGTATTTAAGCTTTTAAATAAAAAGGACTGAGTAACTATTATTTGTGCCTTACATTTCTAAGTTTGAAAGTATTTTCTCATTCTATGAAGTGTATTGTTACGGAGTGCACTAACCTGGCTAAAGATTAAGATAAGATGTTTTCTAACTGTAGTTTTGAAAGTGATGAATGTGTCTGCAGTTCTAGAGTTTTCAGGTAGGGTGTTCCAGATTTTAGGTCCTTTGAAATACATTGAATTTTTGTAAAGGTTTAGTCGAACACAGGGAATGTCAGAGATGTTTGTGTCTGGTGTTATGCCTGTGGATCCTGTCACAACTATCAAGAAAGCATTTTAAGTCAAGGTTAATATTGGAATTTAAGGTCCTGTAGATATAGACTGCACAGTTGTAAGTGTGGAATTTCTGAACAGGGAGTAAGTTTAGATCTATGAAGAGAGGGGGGGGGGGGTGTTGCCAGGGATGGGATTTAGTGATTATTCTTACTGCGGCTTTTTGTTGGGTTTTTATTGGCTTTAGGTGTGTTGTTGCAGTTGAATCCCAAGCATAGATAGCATAGGTGAGGTATGGATATATAAGTGAATGGTATAGTGTGAGAAGGGCAGTTTGCGGTACGTAGTATCGTATCTTAGAGAGGATCTCCACCATTTTGGATACTTATTTTTTTTGTTATGTGTTGGATATGAGTGCTGAAATTTAGGTTGTTGTTGAGGTATAGGCCAAGGAATTTGCCCTCATTATGTCTGACAATTAGAGTGTTGTCGATCTTAATGTTAAGTTGCGCAACACCTGCTCTGCTACCAAACATAATATAGTAGGTTTTGCCAGTGTTAAGTGTAAGTTTATTGGCTGTCATCCAAGTCGATATTTTGAGCAGCTCCTCGTTAACAATGGTGTTGAGGGTGGCAAGATTAGGGTGGGAGATGACATAAGTCGTGTCGTCAGCAAAGAGAATGGGTTTCAGGTGTTGGGATATGTTTGGAAGATCATTGATGTAAATGAGGAAGAGCAGGGGTCCAAGGACACTTCCCTGCGGAACTCCAGTATCAAGTGGCCGCATTGATGAGGCTGTCTCTTTAATGGTGACATACTGATACCTATTAGAAAGGTAGGATTTAAAATATGCAAGTGCATGGCCTCTTATACCATAGTGGTCAAGTTTGTGGAGTAGGATGCCGTGGTCTACTGTGTCAAACGCTTTTCTTAGGTCAATAAAAGTTCCTAGCGGATATTCCTTATTTTCCAATGCTTTGTAAAGCAGGTCTAGCATTTTTATAATTGCATCATTAGTGCTTTTATTTTTCCTGAATCCAAATTGGCAGGGGCTGAGTATGTTTTGTGATGTTATAAATGAATATAGTCTCCTGTGCACGAGTTTCTCGAAGATTTTGGATAGCAATGGTAAGTTTGATATTGGCTTATAGTTGTTTACGTCTGTAGGGTCACCACCTTTATGTATTGGTGTAACCCTTGCTGTCTTGAGTAGTGTCGGGAAAGTGCTGGTTTCTCGTGACTTGTTAAAAAGTAATGTAATAGCATGCGAAAGGACATGGGCCGCTCGCTTGTACAATAATGGTGGGACGTGAGACAGATTCCCAGAGTTATTTTGAAGTGACCATGATCGTGGTCACTTCCGTGGGCTCAGTTGGTACAAGATAGAAGGAATTTGGGAAATTCCCATCTAGGTAGTCCCCGGCACGGGCATTGGTACGTGGGATTTTACTGGCGAGATTAGATCCTATGTTTAAGAAGTCTTATCTTGTTAGCTGTATTAGTGGGATGCAGTGGTGTTTCATGAGGTTTAGTTAGAACAATATTCTTGGTTTTTTTCAGTTTGACATAACCCAAGCCCAGTGCAAAGAAACTGCTATCAGGATAATACATGACCATGTACAAGTTATTGTGCAAGGCAATGAAATCAAAGTAATGCATTTGCTAGGAAAACAAGGAAGTAAACACAGTGTATTATGATCAGACTTCATTCATATGATAGAAAAAAGGACCTAATTAAATCGGCAATAACAATGAAAAATGGAGTGTACATGGAGTGTCTAACGAGAAAACGTCAAAACCTTCTGCTCAGGTTGAGAAAACTTAAACAGGAAAACAAAATACACCAGTGTTTCACTCGAGATGGGAAAATACTAGTTAGAAAAACAGCAACAGGACAACAATATACCATCTCAAATGAACATGATTTCTCTACCTTCCTTAGAAAAGCTGACATTTCTGTAACAGATTAGACAAGTGTCCTTAACACACATACGTGTGGTGCACACAGTGTACGTTCCTATTACATTATTGTGCAATTCCTTGTACTTACTTTGACTAGCTAGTACCAACTACCTCAAATACTTTTTACTTCTTTTTTAATGCTATTAATTGCTCAAATTTTGTGTTGCAAGTCAAATCTTACTCCTAAATTAATGTTATTCGTGGTAGCTATCAGTCTAATTAATTTTGTTTACCACTACTTATTTTAGTCCCTTTTATATTGTGGGGTGCAATTAGTGTATATTTCCTCTTTCAACGTACCAGCCGTATCCCACTGAGGTGGGGTGACCCAAAAGAAAAAACTAAAGTTTCTCCTTTTAGATTTAGTAATATATACAGAAGGGGTTACTAGCCCCTTGCTCCAAGCATTTTAGTCGCCTCTTATGACACTCATCGCTTACAGAGGAAGAATTCTGTTCCACTTCCCCATGGAGATAAGAGAAAATAAACAAGAACAAGAATTAGAAAGAAAATACAGTTAGAAAACCCAGAGGGGTGTGTATATATATGCTTGTACATGTATGTTTAGTGTGACCTAAGTGTAAGTAGAAGTAGCAAGACATAACTGTAATCTTGCATATTTATGAGAGACAAAAGACACCAGCAATCCTACCATCATGTAAAACAATTACAGGCTTTCGTTTTAAACTCGCTTGGCAAGACGGTAGTACCTCCCTGGGTGGCTGCTGTCTACCAACCTACTACCACAGGACGGTAGTACCTCCCTGGGTGGTTGCTGTCTACCAACCCACTACCAAAGGACGGTAGTACCTCCCTGGGTGGTTGCTGTCTACCAACCTACTACCACAGGATGGTAGTACCTCCCTGGGTGGTTGCTGTCTACCAACCTACTACCACAGGATGGTAGTACCTCCCTGGGTGGTTGTTGTCTACCAACCTACTACCACAGGACAGTAGTACCTCCCTGGGTGGTTGTTGTCTACCAACCTACTACCACAGGACGGGAGTACCTCCCTGGGTGGTTGCTGTCTACCAACCTACTACCACAGGATGGTAGTACCTCCCTGGGTGGTTGTCTACCAACCTACTACCACAG